AGATATCATCCATCTTCCTTGGTGGGGAAGACTGACCACCACAAAAAGCAGTTCCTGTGAGAGCTGCCTCTTGCTGAGCTGGAGAGACAGAGGTTTGGGTTTATGTTCTCAGCTCTCACCACTCCAGACAACGCCTCAGACAATGCTCAGTACAGAGACACTGGCACAGGCTCTGTTTGGTCTGTGCATTTAGACACAGCCACAGTCATCATGTACCAAGTCTTAAATATTACCTGGTGAGGAAGCTGTTGCTGACTCCCAGTAACACAGCACCATCCCAGCCACCTGCCTGCACCAGCACCACCCCAGCATGTCAGAGCACCGAGCTGAGGCATCACCAAGACACAGCACCTGGCACCCCCCAGACAGAACGACACAGTCTTCCTCCCCATCCTCCTGAGATGAGGCTCCTTGTCCAGGCACCCCTTCCTGGCTCAGCTGGGACTCTGCCAGACTGAACCCTGCTCTACTTAGGAGAGGAGCTTTATCCATAAATCCATTGTTTCTTTGGGATTTGAGGTGTGTGTGGGGGGTGGAACGAGGGTTTCTTTCATTTAACATAGACTTGAACAGTGAAAGATGGGTTAGTGGTGGGCTTGGCAGTGCTGAGGGAATGGCTGTGCTCAAGGATCTTAGAGGGCTTTTCCAACCCAAACCATTCCATGATTCGGTGATCTCTGAGTCCCTGGAGGAGCACAGAAGTCCTGACAGACATCAGCATGAACCTGATCTCTGTTTCTGTGACACTCTTTGTTTTCTTTACAACAATCTTCCATCCCGTGCCACCCTTCTCAAACCACAGCTTGTGGTGTTTATCCTCAGCTCGGGCCCACAACAAACTTCCTTGGCACCATCTGTCCATGTTTATCCTGGTGAGGGTGTGCCAGGAGCTGCTGCCTCAGCTCTCCCTTGGCACGGGAATGAGCCCCATCCATCACCCCCAGCACAGCAGCCAAATCTCCCTTAAAGACATTACCCTGCCCCTAGAAGAGCTGCCAGGAGCAGGACTCATCAGATCCAAATAAATTAGAGATCTAGCAGGAAGAAAACAGACACGTCATCACCAAAACTGTAAAATAAAAGCATTATTGAGGAAAGGAGTCTGATATTGCTGCGAGTGTCTTCAGGCATTCAGACACGTCATTATGCTGTTTTTCTCTCCTTCTCACAGCCTGAAATAAAATCGGAAATGATCTTTGTGATGTCATCCACCATGGATATCTGACAGATTTATCCTCGTTCTGTATTTTGCAGATTGCTTCAGAGCAGATCTGATCAAAACTGTCCCTGCATGTCCTGAGCACCTCCAGGGTGGCTCCTCTGAGCCTTGTGGACATGAGGAGAGATGAGGATGGCTGAAGGGCTCTGTATCCTCACCCTGACCAAGCCAAGACAGTCACTGCCAGAATGATAAGGCTCTGCGTCACCAAATGCTGCCCTCACATAGGGAAAAAAAAAACAACAAAACCAAACAGGAAAACTGTAGCTAAATTTATTCAGAGACTAGATCAGAGTTGGAGTTTTGGGAAAGATGAGATGCTTTCTTCCCAGAACATTTACACAGACCACTTTAAGTGTAATTCTATAAAAGCAGAAGCCCTGGGTTACCCAGATACCTGCCTGCCTGTGCTGCTGACTGACTTCTCGTGTAGAAAAACTGATAGAAATACCAAACCACACATAAACCCCTGACCCTCTTTCCAGGAACATTTGTGTCCTTCCAGAACCCTTTGTTAATAGAGCAGAAAGATTATCTTAAAATATAACTGTGAAAGGATATGTTTCTTGCACCTGTGCTGCTTCAGCTGACTCACCCCTGTGGAAGCAGCAGAGCCTGGGCCCTTGTGAACATGCCCTTGGGAAGATCCATGCTTTTCCCACTCCCTGTCCTGCTGAACGGGGGGAGGTGACAAGCCCCATCAGCTCTCAGCCCGTGTCACACCCCTGCTGTGCCCCACAGGGAGCTCCTCAGACCCCTGCACAACAGCTCCAGCTCTGCCAAGCCAGCATCCCCATCCCCACTGACATCTCAGGGACACAGCACTCGCCAGTTTGTGCCTTACCTGTGCTGCTCCACCAGGAAAGCCTCAGTGCTGCTCCTGGTTATTCATGACAACTTCCTCCACTGGAAAAAAATTGTCCCTGTACAACCTACCCGTTCCCAAGGACAGTCCTGGCAATGCCATCAGTGATGCACTGTCACAGGAGGAAAGCTGGGACTCCCACCATCCTGGAAACCAGGGAGTGGAATAAGGTGAAGGGGCTAAAGGAAAAGGCTCAAAGGGGCAGGATGAAAATGTGCCCCTCAAGTTTCAAAATAAGTCACTCTTTAACCTGGTAATGAACACAACTCCTTTATTTACTCAAACAATTCCCTTAAAACATTCCATTCTCTGTTAAGAAATTAGGAGAATGACTGAAACACTCCACAACTGCAAAGAGCTGTGCCAGGCACCCAAACCTGGCCACCAGTGGTGCCAGTTCTGCGAGCATGGAACTCTCCAGCAGTCATTAATTAATTTGTCCTGACCCTCCCCAAAACCCAGCATCCCCAGGAGGACTAGGGGTGGGTTGTCCCACCAGGACTGGCTGTGGAGTCGAGGCAGGGCCAGGGCAGAGCAGGACAGGACACACTGTGGGTTCCCTTCCACAGGGACTGCAGTTGGGGACAGGCTGGAGGGCAGAGCTGTGTGAGGTCACATCCCTTCCCATGGGCAGCTGGCACTCCACAGTCCCCACAAACAACAGGAGAAACCAAGAGCCAGCCAAGGTGGCAGGGAAGGATTCCCACATCAGCAGGCACACAAGGAAAGCAACTTTTGGATACAGAGACCCCAGGAACAGGTGTTCCCTGGCTCTGGCATTTTTAAGTCATAAGTGGTTTTCAAGGATGGTTTTTCTGCTGTTACTGCCATAGAAGCTGAGACTACAAACCAGATTTTTGGATGAGCCCCACTATGAATCAAGGACAGCATGACTGGCTCTTCAGAGCAGAAAATAACCTGCCTGACTTACCTAAAAAGCAGCATTTTCTGCCTTTTAGTTTTCGGTGTGACTGTCAGAAAACACAGACACACTGTGCAACGAGCTTACAGAGCAGGAAGAATGGAACCAGCCCCCAGTTCCCAACAAACCAGCACAAAGGTGCCAACAGAAGATGGGTTTGTGTGCTTCCATCCCTTTTCTATCGTGTCAGCTTCGGTTACAAGAACTACTAGACAGCTACGGAACAAGAGTGTTACATGTGAACAGCAGGTGGAAGAATAGGAGCTTAAACACCAGCTTCATGAAAGCAGCAAGCCATTAAAACATGTGGAGAGACAAAATGCACCCTCCAAAATTAAATGGAAAGAATTGAGTGTATAGCTGGCAAAGGTGACTGACCCACGGGGCTGATGGGAAGAACTGAGAGCTCTGTGGGGGCAAAGCCAGACCCTCTCTCTCTCATGAACCACACAGGGTTCTACCTTCCAACACACTTTTTTACTACCCAGATTACCAGGGTATTATTCTTCCATTAAGTCATAATCCAGCACTACCAACCATAACTAAAGTAGAGCAGTTAAAAATTAAATTGGAAAGCAAATACCTAGATGGCCCTGCAGCAATTAACGGTCTTTCTGGATGGAGCTTGGAGCAACCTGATCCAGTGAAAGGCTGGAATGAGATGGACTTTAGGCTCCCTTCAAACCCAAACCAGTCTGGGATTCTGTAATGGGAGGAAGGGCTGAATATCCAGAACATTTCCATCCTTTATCATTCTGTACAGTCATCTGTACTGTGCCCTTCTAGATACACTTTCATTTTATTCCCAAATAAGAGATCTGGGAATTGATACGAGTGTGGATTTTTCACACTGCCTGGGCCCCCTTCCTCAGGTGCAGCCCCAGTGCCAGGACACCGCTGTCCCCAGGCCACCTTTGCTGGGCAGAGATGTTCCCACACCTCAGCACACATACCTGCACCTGACTGACTGGACACCTCACTCTCAGGAGGGTTCCAGGTGGCAAAAGGTCCACTGTTGAACAAAGGGGCTGAAGGAGACCCTAAAAACTACAGATGGGATGTTTCCCATTGTCCAGCCCGTTGCTGGTGATGGAGCAAAAACTGGCACAGGTGCTGGTGAAGGTGCCACAGGGTGGGTGTGGGTCTGGTACAGGTTCTCAAACTGCTGGGAATGGACCATGGTAAACTCTGCTGCCACCAGGCAGAGCCACTCTGACCATGGCAATCTCTGCTGCCACCAGGCAGAGCCACTCTGACCATGGCAAACTCTGCTGCTGCCACCAGGCAGAGCCACTCTGACCATGGCAATCTCTGCTGCCACCAGGCAGAGCCACTCTGACCATGACAATCTCTGCTGCTGCCACCAGGCAGAGCCACTCTGACCATGGCAAACTCTGCTGCTGCCACCAGGCAGAGCCACTCTGACCATGGCAAACTCTGCTGCTGCCACCAGGCAGAGCCACTCTGACCATGACAATCTCTGCTGCTGCCACCAGGCAGAGCCACTCTGACCCTCCCCAGTCACCCGTGTGCCTGGCAGCAGTGAGGTTCGAGGCAGAGGGAACCAGCAGCCACGTGGCACAGGGCTGTGGTGCAGGAACAGGGGCTGAGTGCTCCTGAATGAGGGCAAGCAGCAAGAAAGCAAAAGGATAGAAAAAGTAGGATGGACTTCAGAGCATTGCAAAACAATCTCACCATGGAATCACAGAATCATTTCGGTTGGAAAAGCCCTCTGAGACCATCCCCCAGCCCTGCCAAGGCCACCAGTAACCCACATCACCAAGTGCCACATCTACATAGCTGTTAAATCTATCCAGGAACGGGGATTCCACCACTGCCCCATCCTAGGGGATCAAAAGCCAAAGTCAAATCATACAGGAGGACAAAGAACTTCAGCTGTGCATGAGCAGTGACCAGCCCACTGTTATCCCTCCCCACTGGGAACAGAGGGCTGTGCCTCCCTGGGGAGCACTGGAGAACTCCTCAGCTCACAGAGGAAGAGATCCAGACCTGCTCTGCCTTTGGGATTGGTTCCCCTCACCTGCCTCAGAAAGGCAGGAGAAGTAGAAAGAGTTGCAGGACAAATAGCAAGAGAGGTCAGGTACAGACTGAGAAACTGGGCTCACATGTCAAAGGCAGTTCTGGAGGTGTGAAGGTTCTATAAAGAAATATAGATCATATTTAGAAGAAGAATGAATCAGCTGCTCACCATTTCCCACTCACTTGAAAGCTCCTGGGCAGCACAGACATCACTGGCAGCACATCTGCAAGGGGTAGGAGGAAGATCTCCCTTTCCTCAGGCTGCCTCGCCACCCTCTCCAACACTGCACGTGCAACCCCTTGGGATAAAGCACTAGAGCATCCAACAAGTCCTGAACAATCCCACCTGTACACAGAGGTTTCCAGAACCTGCCACGGCTGATGACAGGAGCAACAGCTTCCAACTGAGAGTCCTGAGCCCACCAGCTGCCGATTGCATCCCACCCTCAGCCCTCCAACAGCTGCCAGGGGGACAGTGGCGGCTGGGGGTGACAAAGCCATCCCTCTGCCACCCACACCCTACTCCCATGGGCACAGAGGGATCCTCTCCAACAGCCAGCCCCAGACACGGAAGCAACAGTGTGTCCCTGACAAACTTATTCTCTTGTAACACATTTCTTCAGAAGAGGAAAACAGAAAATTGGGCAATGACAGATCTTAAAACAAACAAACAAACAAACAAAAAAAAACCACCACCAAACCTGCTTTTTAGACTACTATGAAAAATATGGAGAAGTCCCCTCTGGAGAGGGCTCTGAAAGAAAATATGAGGAGTAATAGCAGATTAAAAGCTTGCTATATAAACATACTGCAAAAAGGGCAGATATCCAACAGGGCAAAAACTAGAAAGCTCTAGAGAAGAGAGGAAAAGTAATTATTCCAGAAGTGAAGAAAATGTCTTGGAATGAGGGACATCACAGAGTTTCAGAATTTCCATTGCTTAAAAAAATATCTGGGGAGTGATTTTATTAACATGTGCAAGTACCTTCATTTCAGGTGATGGATACTTGGTGCTCAAAATCCCCACTGAGGAAGAGCTCAGCAGCCCTGGCAAACCCCAGCAGGCAGGAGCTGAGGCCAGGCACTGAAATTAATATTGACTGGGCAGGGAAAGGGCAACAACACCCAGAGAAATTACTTCTGTTGGAATAAGCTGCCAAAGGACATTTTAAGCTTTGAACAGGCAAGGTACCCTTGGAAAGGCTGTGCTCTATGAGACATGAGCGACACAGCAAAGCACTGAGAGTGCAGGGATTCTGTGCAACACAGCACATGCACAGAGCTGAGGAACAACCTGTTGGTCCCGGTCTGTGAGGGGCTGAGGGTACAAACTCCACGGGGGAGCAGCTGAGATAACACAGGGCTGACAGCTCTTACTGACTCCAGGTCTGGAATGGTTTACATAAGAGAATCCCCAGCACTGAAAGTTCTTCAAGTCACATCTGAGCAGAGTTTGACGAGGAATTTTCCATCCAGACAGTCACCCCGACTGTCCCCTCTATTGCCACACATCTGCCTGTCTGGGCTGTGCACACCCCACGCCCGAGCCGGGCTGTGGAACAGGGTAAGGAGACCCTGCACTGCACCCCCAGAGAGCAAAGCAATGCCAGATTTTATATAAATACCAGTCAAAGGCAATGTGATTCATCAGTGCTCTGGACACTCTCCAGAGGGAAGAGGTAATGGCCACGGCACTGGGAATGCTCCGGTTCAATTCAAGCACGGGGGCAAACACGGGCTGCACGGGGCTGCCTCTTTCTGGGGTTCACTACCAAATCTGGATACTAAAAATCCACAGAAACAAGGAGAAGAGCTCGAGGGAGCAGGTTTTACATCCCGTGAAGGTACCAGAGATTTACCAGATGTGCAACACTACACAGAAGTACTTCAGACCCCCCAGTTGAGCTGTGTTCCTCCTCCCTGCCCAAAAGCAGGGATTCATTCTACGAGCACCTGGATGGGGCAGCGGGCACAGCTGGAGAGGGACCTCCCCTCTCCACAAGTGTAAGGAGCATCACACCAGCGAACTGCTCCGGTGACAACACGGAGAAAAACTGTAAAATGTTCTGTTGGCGCACTGCCTCTGGAACCGCTGTCTGCAGAGCGCTGTTTGAGACCGCGGGTAAAGGTTTGAAAGGGACGATCGAGGGGAAGGAGTGTCTCACAGCACCTGCCGCGTGCGAGAGGAACCCGCATCGGAAGGACCCGGACGCCGCACGTTCCTCACCCTGCCCGGAGCCCCCCGAGGGTCCC